GTGTAATGATTCCAATTCTCTAAATACCTGCAGGTTTTAGGACCATAATGTACGTACATGAAATCAGATGGGGTACCCTTAGGGGGTGAGAGGGAATGCTTAGACTGTCCCCCGCCCATTTTCCAATCACACACACAGGGAGGGAGGATGCCCTGTCCGCTCTAGCGGCACATAAACTAAGGATCTCTCCCTACAGGGTACTCACACAGGAGAGGCTAACGAGGATGGCCGTGACCCTCCTACACCTCCTTTCAGCAAAGAGCGTCGGCTAGTCTCTGAGAGACGGCACTGCTCACTCTCTTTGCATCCAGCGAGATGATCAGACTGTCAGTGGCTCACACAGAGAGGAAAGGGGAGGGAAGATGGGTTCACGCACTCCTAGACCCAGGTAGCTTCCTCGCCGGACGATGTCAGGCCGAGTTAGCCCACCGTGGGTGGGATCTCCTTAAAGATCCTCTAGTTACGGGGCTTGCGTTAGAGTAGTTCTGGTCATGAGCCAAAAGACTATACTCTCTCTCTCTCTCTCTCTCTCTCTCTCCAAATACCACGATGCATCTGTACCTTATGTCCGGACTCAATACACTATGAGGTCGTAACAACCCCTCTTGAGGCAGTTAAAAACCCCTCAGCACCGGTGCATACCTATGCATATGGGGGCGGCCAAGCTAACAGTTCTGATCTTGCTGCACAGTCAATAAGTTCGGATGGCGTGAGCCCAACAGGGACAGACAGCCCCATGGACAGTCCTCCTCCGACACCCCAATAGAGATTTCAAAAGGTCTCCTACCTCTATTATGGCGCCATGGGGTTCGAAGGGGAACAATCCGTAGCAGCTGCCGGTGCCTCTGCGGGCGTTGCCATCCCGGACGAGCCCCCAAATTAGAATCCTAGAATATCAGGGTTGGAAGGGACCTCAAGAGGTCATCTAGTCCAACCCCCTGCTCAAAGCAGGACCAATTCCCAACTAAATCATCCCAGCCAGGGCTTTGTCAAGCCGGGCCTTAAAAACCTCCAAGGAAGAAGACGCCACCACTTCCCTAGGTAACGCATTCCAGTGCTTCACCACCCTCCTAGTGAAATAGTGTTTCCTAATATCCAACCTGGACCTCCCCCACTGCAACTTGAGACCATTGCTCCTTGTTCTGTCATCTGCCACCACTGAAAACAGCCGAGCTCCATCCTCTTTGGAACCCCC